CGGGGGATAGACAAGCCCCAAAAAAATTTAGGGGGGGGCTCACGCCGTGGACGACGAGGCAGCAGGAGGCCGCGATAGAGCGGTTCAGCAGGTTAGCAGAGGAGGCCGCCAGGTTACGGGGGCCACTGGTCACGAGGGAGAAGGAGAGTGTGGAGGCACGGCGAGAGGAACTGGTTAGGCAGCAGAGGGAGCGGAGGTTTATGAGGAAACCCAGTTCCGCTCCTCGCACCAAGCAAGTGGTGTGTGTCACCAGTCCGGTCCGGCCCGTTCCTGATTCCCGCACAAGGCCAGTGGTGTGTGTTCCCAGTACGCTCAGGCCCGTTCCTGCTCCCCGCACTAAGCCTGTGGTGCGCGTCGCCAGCCCGGTCCGGCCTGTTCCTGCTCCCCGCACCAAGCCAATGGTGCGCGTCGTCAGCCCGGTCCGGCCCGTTCCTGCTCCCCGCACCAAGCCAGTGGTGTGCGTCGCCAGCCCGGTCCGGCCTGTTCCTGCTCCCCACACCAAGCCAATGGTGCGCGTCGTCAGCCCGGTCCGGCCCGTTCCTGCTCCCCGCACCAAGCCAGTGGTGCGCGTCGCCAGCCCGGTCCGGCCTGTTCCTGCTCCCCACACCAAGCCAGTGGTGCACGTCGTCAGCCCGGTCCGGCCTGTTCCTGCTCCCCGCACCAAGCCAGTGGTGCGCGTCGCCAGCCCGGTCCGGCCTGTTCCCCGCACCAAGCCAATGGTGCGCGTCGTCAGCCCGGTCCGGCCCGTTCCTGCTCCCCGCACCAAGCCAGTGGTGCGCGTCGCCAGCCCGGTCCGCCCTGTTCCTGCTCCCCGCACCAAGCCAATGGTGCGCGTCGTCAGCCCGGTCCGGCCCGTTCCTGCTCCCCGCACCAAGCCAGTGGTGCGCGTCGTCAGCCCGGTCCGGCCCGTTCCTGCTCCCCGCACCAAGCCAGTGGTGCGCGTCGTCAGTCCGGCACGGTCCGTGCCTGTTCCACCGGTGCCTGGTCCGGCACCGGTCAGCTGCTCCACGCCGGAGCCAGAGCAATCCGCTCCACCGGTGTTCAGTCCAGCTCCGGCCAGAGGGGCCAGACCAGACCAGGGGCGCAACGGGGGGGTAGAGAGAGTGTGGTGGTCACGCCCGGAGCCGGATCCGCCGCCGAGGCAGAATGCCCACCCGGCCCCTACCCTCTTGTGTTTGCTTGGCGCGGTCGCAGTCCGCGCCTTTGGGGGGGGGTACTGTCACGCCCTGGCTCTGGGGACTCTTAAATGTTGAGCCAGGGTGTGGATTTTTCCTTGTTTAGTTTTCTAGGTTTGTTGTTCTAGATCGTGTATTTCTATGTTGGCCAGGGTTGTTCCCAATCAGAGACAGCTGTAGCTCGTTGTCTCTGATTGGGGACCAAACTTAGGCAGCCTGTTGGCATGTTACGTTGTGGGATCTTGTTCCGTTAAGGTTTGTGTTATTAACCTAGAATTTCACGTTTCGTTTGTTATTGGCAAACTTCAGACGGGCCTGTATATGTGCTTTCTTGACCAGGGGGACCTTGCGGGCGCTGCAGGATTTCAGTCCTTCACGGTGTAGTGTGTTACCAATTGTTTTCTTGGTGACTATGGTCCCAGCTGCCTTGAGATCATTGACAAGATCCTCCCGTGTAGTTCTGGGCTGATTCCTCACCGTTCTCATGATCATTGCAACTCCACGAGGTGAGATCTTGCATGGAGCACCAGGCCGAGGGAGATGGACAGTTATTTTGTGTTTCTTCCATTTGCGAATAATCGCACCAACTGTTGTCACCTTCTCACCAAGCTGCTTGGCGATGGTCTTGTAGCCCATTCCAGCCTTGTGTAGGTCTACAATCTTGTCCCTGACATCTTTGGAGAGCTCTATGGTCTTGGCCATGGTGGAGAGTTTGGAATCTGATTGATTGATTGCTGATTGATCTGTGGACAGGTGTCTTTTATACAGGTAACAAGCTGAGATTAGGAGCATTCCCTTTAAGAGTGTGCTCCTAATCTCAGCTCGTTACCTGTATAAAAGACACCTGGGAGCCAGAAATCTTTCTGATTGAGAGGGGGTCAAATACTTATTTCCCACATTAAAATGCAAATCAATTTATAACATTTTTGACATGCGTTTCTCTGGATTTTTTTGTTGTTGTTCTGTCTCTCACTGTTCAAATAAACCTACCATTAAAATTATAGACTGATCATGTCTTTGTCAGTGGGCAAACGTACAAAATCAGCAAGGGATCAAATACTTTTTTCCCTCACTGTAGAAGTAATTTAGCTCGTCTGGTAGGCTCGTGTCACTGGGCAGCTCGCGGCTGTGTTTCCCTTTGTAGTCTGTAATAGTTTGCAAACCCTGCCACATCCGACGAGCATTTTCCTAATCAATCTACACATAATACCCCATAATGACGAAGCAAAAACAGGTTTTTAGAAATGTTTGCAAATTTTGTACAAATTAAAAACAGAAACACCTTATCTAGATAAGTTTTCAGACCCTTTGATAAGAGACACAAAATTGAGCTCAGGTGCATCCTGTTTCCATTGATCATTCTTGAGATGTTTCTACAACTTTATTGGAGTCCACCTGTGGTAAATTCAATTGATTGGACATGATTTGGAAAAGCACACACCTGTCTATTTAAGGTCCCACAGTTGACAGTGCATGTCAGAAGGAATTACGCATAGAGCTCCGAGACAGGATTGTGTTGAGACACAGATCTGGGGAAGGGTACCAAAACATTTCTGCAGCATTGAAGGTCCCCAAGAACCCATCGGCCTCCATCATTCATAAATGGAAGACGTTTGGAACCACTAAGACTCTTCCAAGAGCTGGCCGCCCGGCAAAACTGAGCTATCGGGGGAGAAGGGCCTTGGTCAGGGAGGTGACCAAGAACTCGATGGTCACTCTGACAGAGCTCCAGAGTTCCTCTGTGGAGATGGGAGAACCTTCCAGAAGGACAACCATCTCTGCAGCACCACCAATCAGTGGCCACACGGAAGCCACTCCTCAGTAAAAGGCACATGACAGCCCGCTTGGAGTTTGCCAAAAGGCACCTAAAGACTCTCAGACCATGAGAAACAAGATTCTCTGGTCTGATGAAACCAAGATTGAACTCTTTGGCCTGAATGCCAAGAATCACATCTGGAGGAAACCTGGCACCATCCCTACGGTGAAGCATGGTGGTGGCAGCATCATGCTGTGGGGATGTTTTTCATCGGCAGGGACTGGGAGACTAGTCAGGATAGAGGAAAATATTAACAGAACAAAGTACAGAGAGATCCTTGATGAAAACCTGCTCCAGAGTGCTCAGGACCTCAGACTGGGGAGAAGGTTCACCTTCCAATAGGAATATGACCCTAAGCACACAGCCAAGACAACGCAGGAGTGGCTTCGGGACAAGTCTCTGAATGTCCTTGAGTGGCCCAGCCAGAGCCCAGACTTGAACCCGATCGAATATCTCTGGAGAGACCATCCAACCTGACAGAGCTTGAGAGGATCTGCAGAGATGAATGGGAGAAACTCCCCAAATACAGGTGTGCCAAGCTTGTTGCGTCATTCCCAAGAAGACTCATTGCTGTAATCGCTGCCAAAGGTGCTACAACAAAGTAATGAGTTAAAGGTCTGAATACTTACATAATCGTCATTTTTCAGTTTTTTATTTTTAATAAATTTGCAAAAATTTATAAAAACCTATTTTTGCTTTGTCATTATGGGGTATTTTGTGTAGATGAATGAGGGGGGGAAAAACGATTTAATACATTTTAGAATAAGGCTGTAACGTAACAAAATGTGGAAAAAGTAAAGCGGTCTGAATACTTCCGAAGGCACTATATGTCCTTCACCTGTTTTGCAAGTTCATTTCACATGGCCTACATCCAAGAGGAAATTTGGGAGAGTCACACTATTTTTCCTTTTGTTTTGTACACCATTATGTTTTGTACACCATTATGACTAAGAGGGAGAGGTATGTATCTCACTTGTGGCTGTCGTAATGACCTCTTACTCAGCTAGGCAAGGCAAAGGGTTAGGCTGTGAGCCTAAATTTCCCACGGAAAGAAAAAAATCCAAACCTTATAACCACACCCACATAATGAAACTGTTCATAATGCCTTATGGGAAATGTGTTGTATCAGTTATAACCACACATTCCAGAGCAACTGCACAATGGGAAATGTTTTTCCTTTTCTTGGAGCCAACTATTTACCTAACCATATCAATGACAGTGAATATCACAGCCTGTCGTGTCTAATCTGGTAGCTGGTGGGCGGCAGGTAGCTTAGTGGGTAAGAGCGTTGTGCCAGTAACCGAAAGGTCGCTGGTTCTAATCCCCGAGCCGACTAGGTGAAAAATCTGTCGATGTGCACTTGAGCAAGGCACTTAACCCTAATTGCTCCTGTAAGTCGCTCTGGATAAGAGCGTCTGCTAAATGACCAATTTATTTATTTTTTATTTTAATCTCAGGCTCTGACACCTTCCATACAGTACATTGGTTATTGTAGAGTTTCATAAGAGTGAAGGTGTGTGTGTGTAAACGCCATCACTCCCTAGTGGATGTTTGGCAATAATGCACTCTACACAAAGCCCTGTTTCTTTCTGTGACTGTATTTTAAACATCTGAGTAAAAAATTAAAAAGGGTGATGAGCAATGTCATTGCCTCAAGTAGTTTATTATAAATATAGAAAAATACAAAAACAAAATAGTGACATATAATTAAGCAATAAGGCCAGAGGGGGCGTGGTATATGGCCAACATACCACGGCTAAGGGCTGTTCTTATGCATGACGCAACATGGAGTGCCTGTATACAGCCATTAGCCGTGGTATATTGGCCATATACCACAAACCCCTGAGGTTCCTTATTGCTATTATAAACTGGTTACCAACGGTTCTGTCTTACCCATGGTATACGGTCTGATATACCACAGCTGTCAGCTAATCAGCATTCAGGGCTCGAACCACCCAGTTTATAATTTCTAATAAATAACTCTGGAAACAGAAGGGTTGATGCAGTTGCTATTGGGCCATGCAGAGGAGGTCAAAGGTGAGCTGTGAGATGTCGAAGGCTTGGTGGCGAGGGGGGCTGTCTGTGTGTGTGTGGAAGGGTTCCTGGGTACTGGTGGTCTGTAGGCTGGTGAAGATGACTCGTGCCCGCTGGTTCTCCACCATCTCATCAGCCCAGCGAGGAGGGGGCAGGTCAGCCGAGTAGAGGAGAGGATATATGTTGTCCATGTACACCCTCACAAACATCCTCTTAAGCAGGGGTAGGTCCCTCTGAAAAACACACACACACACACACGTAAAACCACCATCACACAAAACACATACCCACAGAACAAGCCACTTCAGCAGTGCCACAAAAAATTGCTTCACAATTCACTACAAAAATATATAAGGGCCGGATTCCTGCACACTAAAAAGCACTTTAAATGGAGAATCCCAATAAAAAATGCTACAGTCCAGGACTAGGCTTAATCTGTGTCTGAATGTTGTGAAAGTTTGTCACAAACAAAAGAGGAAAACCTAGGTATCTTTTGTATTGTGCGTTCTGCTCTAAGGATTTGCTTACCTTTTCAGATCTCTTCATATTGCTCTCAGCCTCCAACCAAGACTTCTGAACAGACAAACAATTCAGTCAGGGGGATGTTGCAACATATTAGTAAATACACTGTAGCTAGCCATCAGTCTATAAAAGAGCCCACTGCTTCCTGAAAACAGCAGATGAATTGCATTGGGTTTTCAGGGTGTGGTGAGAAGAGCTAGCCTCGATCCGGCTACGGAATTTACCCTCAGGGCATCCAGCAGGTCCGTTTGGTCCATGATCTCTGGGAAGGTGGCCAGCAGAGGACTACAGATCAGATCTGTTGGGGAGAAATGAGACGGAATGGCATCGGCCCGAGAGCATTCCTCATTGGTGACAAACAGCTACTGCAACACATACTGTACTGTACTACTGTAGGAAAAGCAGTTTGGTGTTCTCTGTATCTGATCATCAACACAGGTGAAACAAGGACAACACCAATCTGACTAGATGACCTTCCTGGGCCCGGTTTCCCAAAAGCATCTTAAGGCTACAGTGAGGGAAAAAAGTATTTGATCCCCTGCTGATTTTGTACGTTTGCCCACTGACAAAGACATGATCAGTCTATAATTTATGGTAGGTTTATTTGAACAGTGAGAGACAGAATAACAACAAAATAAATCCAGAAAAACGCATGTAAATTTTTTTATTAATTGATTTGCATTTTAATGAGGGAAATAAGTATTTGACCCATCTGCAAAACATGACTTAGTACTTGGTGGCAAAACCCTTGTTGTTAATCACAGAGGTCAGACGTTTCTTGTAGTTGGCCACCAGGTCTGCACACATCTCAGGAGGGATTTTGTTCCACTCCTCTTTGCAGATCTTCTCCAAGTCATTAAGGTTTCGAGGCTGACGTTTGGCAACTCGAGCCTTCAGCTCCCTCCACAGATTGTCTATGGGATTAAGGTCTGGAGACTGGCTAGGCCACTCCAGGACCTTAATGTGCTTCTTCTTGAGCCACTCCTTTGTTGCCTTGGCCGTGTGTTTTGGGTCATTGTCATGCTGGAATACCCATCCACGACCCATTTTCAATGCCCTGGCTGAGGGAAGGAGGTTCTCACCCAAGATTTGACGGTACATGGCCCCGTCCATCGTCCCTTTGATGCGGTGAAGTTGTCCTGTCCCCATAGCAGAAAACACCCCCAAAGCATAATGTTTCCACCTCCATGTTCGACAGTGGGGATGGTGTTCTTCGGGTCATAGGCAGCATTCCTCCTCCTCCAAACACAGCGAGTTGAGTTGATGCCAAAGAGCTCGATTTTGGTCTCATCTGACCACAACACTTTCACCCAGTTCTCCTCTGAATCATTCAGATGTTCATTGGCAAACTTCAGACAGCCCTGTATATGTGCTTTCTTGAGCAGGGGGACCTTGCGGGTGCTGCAGGATTTCAGTCCTTCATGGCGTAGTGTGTTACCAATTGTTTTCTTGGTGACTATGGTCCCAGCTGCCTTGAGATCATTGACAAGATCCTCCCGTGTAGTTCTGGGCTGATTCCTCACCGTTCTCATGATCATTGCAACTCCACGAGGTGAGATCTTGCATGGAGCCCCAGGCCGAGGGAGATTGACAGTTCTTTTGTGTTTCTTCCATTTGCGAATAATCACACCAACTGTTGTCACCTTCTCACCAAGCTGCTTGGCGATGGTCTTGTAGCCCATTCCAGCCTTGTGTAGATCTACAATCTTGTCCCTGACATCCTTGGAGAGCTCTGTGGTCTTGGCCATGGTGGAGAGTTTGGAATCTGATTGATTGATTGCTTCTGTGGACAGGTGTCTTTTATACAGGTAACAAGCTGACATTAGGAGCACTCCCTTTAAGAGTGTGCTCCTAATCTCAGCTCGTTACCTGTATAAAAGACACCTGGGAGCCAGAAATCTTTCTGATTGAGAGGGGGTCAAATACTTATTTCCCTCATTAAAATGCAAATCAATTTATAACATTTTTGACATGCGTTTTTCTGGATTATTTTGTTGTTATTCTGTCTCTCACTGTTCAAATAAACCTACCATTAAAATTATAGACTGTTCATTTCTTTGTCAGTGGGCAAACGTACAAAATCAGCAGGGGATCAAATACTTTTTTCCCTCACTGTAAGTTCATCATTAGAACCTTCATAGGAGCATCGTTAAATCTCTGAGCTGTTTCCCAAAACCATCGTTACTAAAGTTGCACTTGAAAACGCTTGTTATTTACCAACTGCCTCAGACCACTCGTAGAACAACTAAGTGAATGGTTAGATTCTTTTTTGCCCTTCCGTGTCACTTTATACATCTCAGCTAAACATACACTGAGTGTACAAAACATTAGAAACACTTAGCTGATATTGAGTTGCACCCCTTTTTGCCCACAGAACAGCCTCAATTTGTCGGGGCATGGACTCTACAAGGGGTTGAAAGCGTTCAACAGGGATGCTGGCCCATGTTGACTTCAATGCTTCACACAGTTGTGTCAAGTTAGCTGGATACCCTTTGGGTGGAGCACCATTCTTGATACACACGGGAAACTGTTGAACGTGAAAAAACCCAGCAGTGTTGCAGTTCTTGACACACTCAAACCGGTGTGCCTGGCACCACATCCCATTCAAAGGCACATAAATCCTTTGTCTTGCCCATTCACCCTCTGAATGGCACACATAAACAATCCATGTCTCAATTATCTCAAGGCTTAAAATTCCTTCTTTAACCGGTCTGCCTCCACCCAGTACCCTGCCTTGAACTTAGTCACTGTCACTAACCGGCTACCACCCGGTTACTCATCCCTGCACCTTAGAGGCTGCTGCCCTATGTACATAGACATGGATCACTGGTCACTTTAATAATGGAACACTGGTCACTTTAATAATGTTTGCATACTGTTTTACTCATTTCATATGTATATACTGTATTCTACTGTATTCTAGTCAATGCCACTCTGACATTGCTTATCCTAATATTTACATATTTCTTAATTCCATTCTTTTACTTTTAGATTTGTATGTATTGTTGTGAATTTTTAGATACTACTGCACTGTTGGAGCTAGGAACACAAGCATTTCGTTACACCCGCAATAACATCTGCTAATTATGTGTAGTGACCAATACAATTTGATTTGATTGAAGTGGATTTAACAGGTGACATCAATAAGGGATCATAGCTGTCACCTGGATTCACCTGGTCAGTCTATGTCATGGAAAGAGTTCCTAATGTTTTGTACACTCAGTGTAGAATCAAGATGTTTATCTGTCTCTCTGTAACCACTGATAACATGAGAACAAAGTTGACTACAAACAAATGTTGCCAATGTCTTTGCAATTGTTACCAACAAGTGAAGGATAAAAAAATGCTTCAAATGAAAATCGAAAGATGACTGCAGTAAAACATAAATAGGCTACATGGGCCAATACAGTGCCTTCAGAAAGTATTCACACCTTTACTTTTTCCACATTTTGTTGTGTAACAGCCTGAATCTAAAATGGATTAAATTGAGATTTTGTGTCACTGATCTACACACAATACCCCATAATGTCAAAGTGGAATTCTGTTTGTAGACATTTTTCAAAATTAATACAAAGATTTAAGCTGAAATGTCTTGAGTCAATAAGTGTTCAACCCCTTTGTTAGCCTAAATAAGTTCAGGAGTAAAAATGTGCTTAACAAATCGCATAATAAGTTGCATGGACTCATTACGTCTTCAATAATAGTGGTTAACATTATTTTTTTAATGACTACCCCATCTCTGTACCCCACACATACAATTATCTGTAAGGTCCCTCCATTGGGTAGTACATTTCAAGCACAGATTCAACCACAAAGAACAGGGTGGTTTTTCAATGCCTTGCAAAGACGGGCACCGATTGGTAGATGTGTAAAAATAAAAAGAGCAGACATTGAATATCCCTTTGAGCATGGTGAAGTTATCAATTAGGCCTTTGGATAGTGTATCAATACACCCAGTCACTACAAAGATAAAGGCGTCCTTCCTAACTCAGTTGCCAGAGAGGAAGGAAACTGCTCAGGGATTTCACCATGAGGCCAATGGTGACTTTAAAAGAGTTACAGAGTTGAATGGTTGTGATATGAGAAAACTGAGGATGGATGAACAACATTGTAGACAGGTAGCTTAGTGGGTAAGAGCGTTGTGCCAGTAACCGAAAGGTCGCTGGTTCTAATCCCCGAGCCGACTAGGTGTAAAATCTGTCGATGTGCCCTTAAGCAAGGCACTTAACCCTAATTGCTCCTGTAAGTCGCTCTGGATAAGAGCGTCTGCTAAATGACTAAAATGTAAAATGTAATGTAAAATGTAATTGTAGTTACTCCACAATACTAACCTAAATGACAGTGAAAAGAAGGAAACCTGTACATAATTCAAATATTCCAAAATATGCATCCTGTTTGCAACAAGGCACTTCTACACTGGCGTTGCTTACCAAGATGACACTGAATGTTCCTGAGTGGCCTAGTTACAGTTTTGACTTAAAAATCTATGGCATGACTTGAAAATGGCTGTCTAGCAATTATCAACAATCAACTGACAGAGATTGAAAAATTAAAAAAAGAATAATGGGCAAATATTGTACAATCCAGGTGTGGAAAGGTCTTAAGAGAATTACCCAAAAAGACTCAAATCAAATCCAATTTTATTGGTCACATGTGCCGAATAGAACAGGTGTAGACTTTACAGTGATATGCTTATGAGCCCAATCCTAACATTGCAGAGTTAAAAAGACAAATATTTGATAAATAAATAAAAAACTATACAGCCTTATTCTAAAATGGATTAAATAAATGTTTTTCTTCTCATCAATCTACCCACAATACCACATAATGACACATTTACTAATAATAAAAAATGGAAATATGTAGTGTGTGTATCAGTGGCAGTCAGTGCCGTTTAAGATGAGGGAGGATGATAAAACATTTTTTGATCAACATGGCCTTATTTCTATTACAGCATGTTGGATGAATGTCATTCATATTCCATTCACCCAGCTCAATGTAACATTGATAGGTTTAGGCTACTACATGATACTCAAATTTTCCACGTACCCATTATGAGGTTGCTACAACCTAGCCTATGAATGAAAGTTTACAACGTAGGTGCAAAGGTCGAGAGAATTTTGAGTAATCAAGGTGACAGACAGTGACACATTCAATACCGCGTTGCACACTCTTGCCTGCATCTTGCTGATCTAGGGTGTAATCATTAGTCCAACAGTTTCACACAAGAGTTTCTATTGGACAAATTCAGGTATGTTTATCCCTGTTTCGTTCCGTTTGCTTTTGTTTAAGAAACGTTTTTCAACAGAATCGGCATAATGAATACACTCCTGATCACACGCAAACACAGTTCACTTTCATAGCAGCCACATACAAACAGCTTGTTGTATATATCATTCCTTCTCGCATCTATCTATGTGCTGTCCTCTCATCTTTTCCCTTCGCTTGTGGACTTCAGTGTACAATACATCAGCTGTCTGTGACCATCTAAAAAAACATAATATCATAACCGCTACACACAGCCTACATTGTTGTCAGGTCATAGTCAACATAGCTACTATAACTAATATGGTAATATTTTATGTATCATTAAGGCAAATGTTGGGAAATGTCAAAAGTAAAATATAGTAAACATGATTGACATTATATAATCCAGATGCATGTTTAAATAAGGAATATAGCCAATACAGTGTGTAACCATGCTTTAATCAATGTATGTATATTATTTTTAAGAAAGTGTCTGAGTCACGCCACCAATATAAAGAGATAAGGGAAAGAGGCTTCAATTGGAAAGCGCATGTAGCCCTTGTAAGAGTAAACAACATGTGTTATTGGACTTCGAAAGATAATGGTGGCGTGGCAGTTAAAGATGTTAATCAGTTATCTTAAGGGAAGTAGCTGTATATGCTATGTAAACATGACTATCCACTTGTATTTGTATAAAATGAGATCTTTGAGCCAATCTTTGAGCCAGTTCCATGGAACTGCTCGGCTTTTGTTATTAGATAATAAAAGTCACATTTTTGGATTCACAGGCTCCAGTTTCTTGAGAGATATTTTTGAGTTGACTACTTTTGAGTCAAATATTTCTACGACACTAACGCGTTACTAAACCTGCTTCAATCATGCAGTACGGCAGTGGTTCCTAACCAGAAGTACTAGGACTCCTCGGGGTACTCGGGGTAATTCCGTTGGTGGTACAATAACCGAAAAAGGTTGGGAACCACTGCAGTACAGCGTACAGTCAGCAGCAAGCAGTTTAGCAGATACACCGGTGGGCCCCGGTGACAATAGACTAATAAAACCAAAAGCTTACCTTGACTTGGAAAAGTTCCAGTATTGGATAGCCATAGTCAGCTAGCTAACATAGCAACCCTCTCTGTTTGAGCCGGGTGTTTGGGTAAGCCAAACTAGCTAGCTGCATTCGATGCTAGCTAAGTAAGTGAAAGTGAAAAAAATATATACTACGAAATATAGCTTGCTCTCTCTCGCTCCCTCTCTCTCTCTCGACGGCAGGGAGTTCAGCCCCAGTGATGTACTTGGCCGTACGCACTACCCTCTGTAGCGCCTTGCGTTCGGATGCAGAGCAGTTGCCATACCAAGCGGTGATGCAACCAGTCAAGATGCTCTCAATGGTGCAGCTGTATAACTTTTTGAGGACCTGAGGGCTCATGACAAATCTTTTCAGCCTCCTGAGGGGGAAGAGGCGTTGTCGTGTTTTTGGACCATGATAGGTCGTTAGTGAGGAGGAACTTGAATCTCTCAACCCGCTCCACTACAGCTCCGTCGATGTGAATGGGGGCGTGTTCAGCCCTCTGTTTCCTGTAGTCCATGATAAGCTCCTTTGTCTTGCTCACGCTGAGGGAAAGGTTGTTGCCAGGCCTCTGACCTCCTCCCTATAGGCTGTCTCATCGTTGTTGGTGATCAGGCCTACCACCGTCGTGTCATTGGCAAACTTAATGATGGTGTTGGCATCGTGCGCGGCCACGCAGTCGTGGGTGAACAGAGAGTACAGGAGGGGACTGAGCACGCACCCCTGAGGGGCCCCTGTGTTGAGGGTCAACTTGGCGGAGGTGTTGTTGCCTACCCTCATCACCTGGGGGCGGCCTGTCAGGAAGTCCAGGATCCAGCTACAGAGGGAGGTGTTCAGTCCCAGGGTCCTTAGCTTAGTGATGAGTGTGCAATGATGTGCAATCTGTGATTTAGTGCATTATTATTGGGTAACCATTAGGATAAGCAGCCATTTAGGTGGTAATATTTACATTTTACATTTGAGTCATTTAGCAGACACTCATATGCAGAGCGATTTACAGTTAGTGCATTCATCTTAAGATAGCTAAGTGGGACAACCACATATCACAGTCATAGTAAGTACAGGGGAAGAGGGAGCGAGGGGGGTGCTGTGGAAATATTTACTCTGGGACGGGGACAACGTGGAGTTGTCAACCCTGATGGAGAGGTCTTTGAGCGGGCAGTGTCCGAGCCGGCTCAGAGGAAAGGGGACAGTGCGAGTCATAGGATGCGACTAGGGTTGAAGAGGCAGAACCAGGAGACAGGAGGGAGAAGGATTTAGCAGAAGGGAGAGAGGATAGGATAGAAGAGGAGAGAGATAGTGAAGACTGTGACGGCACATTACCATCTGGGTAGGGGCTGAGTGGCTAGGGTTGGAGGAGAGGGAGACAGAAAAGGAAACAAAGTAGTGATCATAGTCCTGGAGGGGGGTTGCAGTGAGATTAGTAGGTGAACAGCCTCTAGTAAAGATGAGGTCAAGCGTATTTCCTGCCTTGTGAGTTGGAGGGGATTGGGAAAGGGTGAGGTTAAAAGAGGCAAAGAGGGGAAAGAGAGTTGGAAAGAAATTAAACGAAGGCAGACGTCGGGAGGTTGAAGTCGCAAAGTACAAAGAGCGGTGAGCCATTGTCAGGAAATTAGCTTATCAAGGTGTCAAGCTCATTGAGGAACTCTCTAAGAGCACCTGGTGGGCGGTAGATGACAACAATGTTAAGCTTGAGTGGACAAATGACGGTATTCAAATGAGGAGATGGACAGGTGAGTTAGGGAGAAAATATAAAATCTCAATTGAGGAGAAATGAGTAGCCCTGTGCCACCACCGCGATGACCAGATGCTCTTGGACTATGAGAGAAAACGTAGTCAGATGAAGAAAGAGCAGCTGGAGTAGCAGGGTTCTCTGGGGTGACCCATGTCTCCATCAGGGCCAAAAAGTCAAGGGACTGAAGGGAGGCATAGGCTGAGATGAACTCGGCGTTCTTGACCGCAGATCGGCACCTCCAAATGCTGCCAGAGACCAGGAATTCCACATGGGTTGGGCGTGCAGGGTACACTAAATTAGAAGGGTTGCAACCAAGGGGAGGGGAGCATCTGTAAAGCCTACAGGAAGTGGCGCAGTGGTCTAAGGATAAGGCGCTGCATCGCAGTGCTTGCGGCGCCACTAGAGATCCTGGTTCGAATCCAGGCTCTGTCGTAGCCGGCCGTGACCGGGAGTCCCATGGGGCGGCGCACAATTGGCCCGGCGTCGTCCAGGGTAGGGGAGGGAATGGCCGGCAGGGATGTAGCTCAGTTGGTAGAGCATGGCGTTTGCAACGCCAGGGTTGTGGGTTCGATTCCCAGTATGAAAAAAATAATGTATGCACTCACTAACTGTAAGTCGCTCTGGATGAGAGCGTCTGCTAAATGACTAAAATGTAAATGTAAAATGAGTGAACAGGTATAGAAAACACACACATAGCTGCCAAAGCTACAAAAGAGCAAAATGAGATCATCGAAAAATAACTAGGAGAACCGTCTTTATTTCAGCAACGGCCTTAGTTTTGTGACACGACCGCCGCTTACAGCTGCTGCTGATCTCTAGATGCTGATCCATCATCAGTATTGTGGAATAATTCTAATGTTGAGGTAAAATTTGAATGGAGAAAGCTGATCCAGGAGCAGCGCTGCCTTTCTTTCGATCCTCTCAGTATCGACAAGTGCTCCAACAACACACGTATTGGATGTTCTCTCTGCGTGGTGTTTATCTTCGGCCATTATAGGAACGATGCATTGTTAAAAACACTCATAAGCCAAAATTCCATCGCTATCGGGAAACCGGACTCTGTTCTATGTGGAAGACACCATCATGTAGACTACTATGTGACCTGATCAATGGTGGGGATGCTGTATCCAACATATCATATATAGTGTTGGATTCAAACTTCTAACTTCAAATATCTTACACTATTAGAACTGAGTGAATGGAAATCTACTGAGTGAGAAAGGGGAGTGCAGAAAGTTTACATTCTGTCAGAACATGTTAGGGTTAAGTCTCATGTATCCTATGGATGTCACACCCTGGCTCTGGGACTCTATATGTTGAGCCAGGGTGTGTTCATTCTGTGTGTTTATTTCTATGTTGGTAATTCTGTTGTGTTTATTTCTATGTTGGCTAGAGTGACTCCCAATCAGAGGCAACGAGTGTCAGCTGTCGTTGGTTGTCTCTGATTGGGAGCCATATTTATACTGTCTATTTTCCCTTTGTGTTTGTGGGTTCTTGTTCCGTATTCGGTCATTGTTACCGTGGACTTCACGAGTCGTTTCTTGTTTTGTTGATTGTGTTCTATTATCACTAAAGATAATAAAGTTAAACATGTTCGTTCATCACGCTGCGCCTTGGTCTGTTCAATACGACGAACGTGACAGAAGGACCCACCATGCAACGACCAAGCAGCGTGTCCAGGGGCAGCTCTTGGGCTGGACATGGGAGGAAGCGCCGGGAGAAGAGACGGTGGAGGCGCGCCGTAGAGAGGAGCAGCGGCGCCAAACGGGTCAACGTCGGACAGGCGAGAGGCAACCCCAGACATTTTTTAGGGGGGGGGCACACGGCATGGACGACGGGGCTGACGGAGGCAAAAAAGGGGCGGATTCAGAAGGCCACCAGGTTACGGATACACCGCCCTGTACGTCCTGTGCGGATGCCTCACACAGAGTGTGTGAGGGTAGGCATTCAGCCAGGACGGGTTGTGGCCGCTCTTCACTCCAGGTCTCCTATCCGTCTCCACAGCCCGGTTCGGCCTGTCCCTGCTCCACGCACCAAGCCTACGGTGTGCGTCGCCAGCCCAGTCCGGCCTGTCCCTGCTCTACGCACCAAGCCTACGGTGTGCGTCGCCAGCCCAGTCCGGCCTGTCCCTGCTCTACGCACCAAGCCTACGGTGTGCGTCGCCAGCCCAGTCCGGCCTGTCCCTGCTCCACGCACCAAGCCTACGGTGTGCGTCGCCAGCCCGGCCCGGCCTGTTCCTGCCACTCGCACCAAGTCTACGGTGCGCGTCGCCAGCCCGGCCCGGCCTGTTCCTGCCACTCGCACCAAGTCTACGGTGCGCGTCGCCAGCCCGGCCCGGCCTGTTCCTGCCACTCGCACCAAGTCTACGGTGCGCGTCGCCAGCCCGGCCCGGCCTGTTCCTGCCACTCGCACCAAGTCTACGTGCGCGTCGCCAGCCCGGCCCGGCCTGTTCCTGCTACTCGCACTAAGCCAGGGGTGCGAGACGTCAGCCTGGTAAGGCCTGTTCCTGCTACTCGCACTAAGCCAGGGGTGCGAGACGTCAGCCTGGTAAGGCCCGTCCCTCCTCCACGCACCAAGCCAGGGGTGCGAGTCGTCAGCCTGGTAAGGCCCGTTCCTCCTCCACGCACTAAGCCAGGGGTGCGAGTCGTCAGCCTGGTAAGGCCCGTTCCTCCTCCACGCACTAAGCCAGGGGTGCGCGTCGTCAGTCCAGCACAACCCGTGCCTGGGTCACCGGTGCCTGGTAAGGTACCGGTCAACTGCTCCACTATGGAGCTGAAGCTAACCGCTCCTGCTAAGTCCAGTTCAGCTCCAGCCGGCGGGGCCAGACTGGACCAGGGGCGCTATGGGGGGTTTATTGGAGGGTGGTGGTCAAGGCCGGAGCCAGAACCGCCGCCGAGGAGGTATGCCCGCCCAGCCCTCCCCTGTTTTGTTCAGGTTGAGGCGCGGTCGCAGTCCGCGCCTTTAGGGGGGGGGGGGGTACTGTCACACCCTGGCTCTGGGACTCTATATGTTGAGCCAGGGTGTGTTCATTCTATGTGTTTATTTCTATGTTGGTAATTCTGTTGTGTTTATTTCTATGTTGGCTAGAGTGACTCCCAATCAGAGGCAACAAGTGTCAGCTGTCGTTGGTTGTCTCTGATTGGGAGCCATATTTATACTGTCTATTTTCCCTTTGTGTTTGTGGGTTCTTGTTCCGTGTTCGGTCATTGTTACCGTGGACTTCACGAGTCGTTTCTTGTTTTGTTGATTGGTGTTCTATTATCACTAAAGATAATAAAGTTAAACATGTTCGTTCATCACGCTGCGCCTTGGTCTGTTCAATACGACGAACGTGACAATGGAGAGGAGAAGGGCAACGGTCTGGTTTCAGTCACTGATAAGGTTGTCTAGCTGTGGATTAGGGAGGAGTGAGGAATGTGGGCTGAGGTCAGGTCAGATGAACGGAGAAGGAACATTCCTATGACATACACACATAGGAGGCAGGGCCATGACTACACCAATGAGATGAACCACTTAAGTTCCTGCCTAGCAACATAGATGTATTGGCTGTCTAGATGTGCAAATTCTGCAGTTTTATAAAGTATAAAGGTATCCGGATCTGACCGTAAAGGGAGCTCCCAGATAAGTAAGGCCTGGCCATTTGTTTGTTTTTGCCCTACATTTTACCACACACACCAGCACACACAACCCACCGGTTATGAATATTTGTTAGTGGTGTTAATACTGTGTTTGATTTACTGTGTGGGGTGTTTTTAATTTGGTTGTAAACTGGGTACGCAGATTGATGGAAATGTTTGAAATGTTTTTAAATGGTTTCTGAAGTACAGGGAAAGAAAAGGGAAAGAAAATACTTAATGGTGTTGAATGACCTTTGTCCTGACTTCCTAGTGAGGCCTGATCCACCTCACTAGAAAGGTTAGAGACATTGGGTGAGATTTAAGTATAATATGAAGAAGTGTATAGCTATTTAAGGTTTTTGTTGTTTTGTTTTTGTCTTTGTTTCAATACAAATCTCACTAGATTGGGTCTGTTGTATGGTCGGGGTTTCTCCCTAAGGGTTAGCGCTCTAACTCCCAGACCCGGTAACTCTGCGGTGAGGTCGCCAGTATGATAAGGGAGTAGAAGCCAATTTGGAAAATGGTTTCAACAGTGTGTTGTTATGCTCTTGGACATTTGTCTCAGGAATTTTGTATTAAGGAAATTGGGAATATTGGTAATAATTTGTCATACGGTAAATAGTTGTTTGGATTCTCTGAATCAGAAATGCCTTAAACTGTTGTTTTGGTCTGTCCTTTCTCGAAGTTGTGGCGATAGTGATTACCGATGGTATCTATATGCATGGAGGGAATAATACAACGAGAACAGTGTGAGCTCACCCTCACCCCCCCCCCCTCCCCCGCAACCGGCTGAAGTAATGGCGGAAATGGTGTTCACTACGGCCCTGTCTTTCACCACTCCTACCTGTGACCTGAGTCCGAGCCAGCAACCTGAGTACAAGCAGCAGAAGCACGGCATGAGTCCTGAGACCGTGCATGTGGAGTGAGCATGGAGAGAGATTATTTTCAAACTCCTCTCCTGCTGCTGGTGCACTGGTGGGAAAATGGACCAGACAGAATGGTCTGTACAGAATGGTGATGGCGGCTCAGGTGAGAGATTTGTGTGCTTGGGAAAATCGGATTATCCCCCAGATATTGAAATCGGGACATTATCAAGGGCCATCCACTTTGACAGGCATGAGTTACATATGTGTCCTGGGAGGATGAACTGTAACGCTATCTGAAGAAGAAAATGAAGATACGCCAAAAGATGAGTACCGGGAAGGAGGGGGGTGGTCAACTGTACCCGTACATTTATTTAGGATTGCCCTAAACTGTTTATTTGGGGTATCAGGTTGATTTTGGAGGTCTACACTGTAAAAGACCCAGCCACGTTTCATCTTCAATGCCCTTGCTGATGGAAGGAGGTTTTCACTCAAAATCTCATGATACATGGCCCCATTCATTCTTTCCTTTACACGGATCAGTCGTCCTGGTCCCTTTGCAGAAAAACAGCCCCAAAGCATGATGTTTCCACCCCCATGCTTCACAGTAGGTATGGTGTTCTTTGGATGCAACTCAGCATTCTTTGTCCTCCAAACACGACGAGTTGAGTTTTTACCAAAAAGTTCTATTTTGGTTTCATCTGACCATATGACATTCTCCCAATCCTCTTCTGGATCATCCAAATGCACTCTAGCAAACTTCAGACGGGCCTGGACATGTACTGGCTTAAGCAGGGGGACACGTCTGGCACTGCAGGATTTGAGTCCCTGGCGGCGTAGTGTGTTACTGATGGTAGGCTTTGTTACTTTGGTCCTAGCTCTCTGCAGGTCATTCACTAGGTCCCCCCGTGTGGTTCTGGGATTTTTGCTCACCGTTCTTGTGATCATTTTGACCCCACGGGGTGAGATCTTGCGTGGAGCCCCAGATCGAGGGAGATTATCAGTGGTCTTGTATGTCTTCCATTTCCTAATAATTGCTTCCACAGTTGATTTCTTCAAACCAAGCTGCTTACCTATTGCAGATTCAGTCTTCCCAGCCTGGTGCAGGTCTACAATTTTGTTTCTGGTGTCCTTTGACAGCTCTTTGGTCTTGGCCATAGTGGAGTTTGGAGTGTGACTGTTTGAGGTTGTGGACAGGTGTCTTTTATACTGATAACAAGTTCAAACAGGTGCCATTAATACAGGTAACGAGTGGAGGACAGAGGAGCCTCTTAAATAAGAAGTTACAGGTCTGTGAGAGCCAGAAATCTTGCTTGTTTGTAGGTGACCAAATACTTATTTTCCACCATAATTTGCAAATAAATTCATAAAAAATCCTACTAATGTGATTTTCTGGATTTGTTTTCTCATTTTGTCTGTCATACTTGACGTGTACCTATGATGAAAATTACAGGCCTCTCTCATCTTTTTAAGTGGGAGAACTTGCACAATTGGTGGCTGACTAAATACTTTTTTTCCCCACTGTATAATCTCCACCCGGCACATCCAGAAGGGCAATGGCCACCCCTCAGAGCCTGGTTCCTCTCTAGGTTTCTTCCTAGGTTTCTGCCTTTCTAGGGAGTTTTTCCTAGCCACCGTGCTTCTACATCTGCATTGCTTGCTGTTTGGGGTTTTACGCTGGGTTTCTGTATAGCACTTTGTGACATCTGCTGATGTAAAAAGGGCTTTATAAATCAAATTTGATGATTGATTGATTGTTGTCATTTCAGACACTATTGTCAACTTTCAGTGAGGGGTTCATCAAAGAAGGTACAACGCTTGAAAGAATAGCCACAGATCCCTGTATACAGGAGGCCACTTCACCGGAAGGGAAGTTCGCTGTAATAATAGCATCACATCTCCTGTAGAGTGTGATTAAGAAACATGTGACTCAGAGTTTTGAAAGGTTGGGTACTCTTCCAACAGCACTAATTTCTCCCTCATTCCTAACCGCCAGCAGGAAGGTGTCAGAAGGTGGCTGCGTATCAACCGTTGGGACCCAAAGTTTACACTGTAACGAGGGTGTTCACAAAGGGGTGGGGTGAACAGGCAGCAGCTCGGGTGGTTGATGTCCTTGATGATCTTTTTGGCCTTCCTGTGACATTGGGTGCTGTATATCGTGTGGCCATGGAGGAAGAAGGAGATGGGGAGCGAAGTGAAAATGATGGCGTTATCACACTTTTTCTAACCTGTGGCTTAACGTGGGAAGACTGGGTGAAAGCATCAGCCACGCTTAAGGTCCTAAACGATATTATAACCGCGATCGATAATAGACAGTACTGTGCAGCCGTCTTCATCGACTCTGTCAATCACCGCATTCTTATTGGCAGACTAAATAGCCTTGGTTTCTCAAATGACTGCCTCGCCTGGTTCACCAACTACTTCTCAGATATAGTTCAATGTGTCAAATCGGAGGGCCTGTTGTCTGGACCTCTGGCAGTCTCTATGGGGGTGCTACAGGGTTCAATTCTCGGGCCGACTCTATTTTCTGTGTATATCAATGACGTCGCTCTTGCTGCTGGTGACTCTCAGATCCACCTATACGAAGACGACACCATTTTGTATACATCTGGCCCTTCATTGGACACTGTGTTAACAAACCTCCAAACGAGCTTCAATGTCATACAACACTCCTTCCGTAGCCTCCAACTGCTCTGAAACGCTAGTCAAACTAAATGCATGCTCTTCAATCGAACGCTGCTTGCACCCGCGGCTAGAATCACTACTCTCGGCGGGTCTGACTTAGAATATGTGGACAACTACAAATACCTAGGTGTCTGGTTAGACCGTAAACTCTCCTTCCAGACTCACATTAAGCATCTCCAATCCAAAGTTAAATCTAGAATCGGCTTCCTATTTCGCAACAAAGCCTCCTTCACTCATGCCGCCAAACATGCCCTCGTAAAACTGACTATCCTACCGATCCTTGACTTCGGCGATGTCATTTACAAAATAGCCTCCAACACTCTACTCAGCAAATTGGATGTAGTCTATCACACTGCCATCCGTTTTGTCACCAAAGCCCCATATACTACCCACCCTTGTGACCTGTACGCTCTCGTTGGCTGGCCCTCACTACATATTCGTCGCCAAACCCACTGGCTCCAGGTCGTCTATAAATCTCTGCTAGGCAAATCCCTGCCTTATCTTAGCTCATTGGTCACCATAGCAACACCCACCCATAGTATGCGCTCCAGCAGGTATATCTCACTGGTCATCCCCAAAGCCAACACCTCCTTTGGCTGCCATTCCTTCCAGTTCTCTGCTGCTAATGACTAGAACAAACTGCAAAAATCTCTGAAGCTGGAGACTTATCTCCCTCACTAACTTTAAGCATCAGTTGTCAGAGCAGCTTACCGATCACTGCACCTGTACACAGCCAATCTGTAATTAGCCCACCCAACTACTTCATCCCCATATTGTTATTTATTTTGCTCATTTGCACCCCAGTATCTCTATTTGCACATCTATCATTCCAGTGTTAATACTAAATTGTAATTATTTTGCACTATGGCCTATTTATTGCCTTACCTCCATAACTTACTACATTTGCACACACTGTATATAGATTTTCTATTGTATTATTGACTGTATGTTTTGTTTATCCCATGTGTAACTCTGTGATGTTGTTGTTTTTATCACACTGCTTTGCTTTATCTTGGCCAGGTCGCAGTTGTAAATGAGAACTTGTTCTCAACTGGCCTACCTGGTTAAATATTTTTTTTTTGTCCTTGTGTAAACATGTCTTTGTCTTTTCAGCTGTTTGACCCAGTGGGTGAATAAACTTGGTTTTAGCGTTTTCTAGTCATCCGTTTGAGTTTTTAACTCTGTTTTTCAGAACCTAACAGAAGTCAACCCATTATCCTGTCCATGGATGTGTTGGAGCGTGCTTGCATGTGTTACCTGCATTCTGCATGGTAGCCCTGTTCATTAGCAGAGCATCTGCCAGTAGTTGTCTGTGTAGAACCAGCAGGTGTATACTGGAGAGACTGCCCACCAGAGTGTCTGGAAGAGCACTGACAACGCAGGGAGAGGAGTTAGCTAGCTACAGGAACATCCAAACTACTATGAGATCTCCAACATGACAAGAGGTCCTGTAGCTTCCATTCCAAAATCCACACTCACCTCAGCTGTGACCTTGTGCGAGCGTTTGGCGATTTCAGTTTGAGGAAGAGTTTAGGGAGTTTCCTGGACAACATCATCTGCTGGAACATGCCTGTTCCTGTGGCTGTGACCAGAGAGAGATCACATGGACGATGAGAACCTCAGAAACTCTCATTCTCAACATAATATTAGTAATAATGACCTCTATCAATTCAATACAACTTCATTTATTAACATGTAATTAATATGCACTTTTTGCGCGTTCATACCTCCTCTTGTTAAAGACGGATCTACCTCTATGTCCTTTTCATACGGTGTGCCTCCATGCACAAGCAATTCATAGGTCCTACAGACAGAGACAGACAGACACAGGCATGAGATTCACTCCCAGACGATGAAATCTCTTCTGACATACTGTATGTGTTGATGACGATACTGGGCTGCGAGTCATTTTTGGCTTTGGGACAGATGTGTTGGGGAGAAATGAGACGGAACAACATCGGCCCGAGAGCAGTCCTCATTACTAACAAACAGCTACTGAAACACATACTGTATTGTACTACTGTAGGAAAAGCTGATTTCATTGCAAATGGCAATGAAATCAGATTATGATATCTCTTAGGGCATCTGTGTTGATGGCAACATCGAAATGCGAGTCTTTTTGGCTCCGGACCAGCAAAGGAGTAATACAGTACCTGTGTGGGACAGGAGCTCCATTGGCATCAAAGAGCTTCAGGAAGGCCCAGCCACAGCTCAGGTCTCCTCTCTCACCGGTAGACTGGAGAGCAAGAGCTCAATATAAATCAATGCAAACCAAGAATCACTCGAAAATCATGTTATAGATACTGTTGGAGAAATAACAGCTACCCCATAGGACATTGCTAGAGGGGTTAGTCTACAGACATGGCTAGCGCACTGAAAGAGACAACTTTGCTGTAGACTTGAGTAGTCTTTCTCAGGAATGGTATAAGAAATGCTTACATTTCGGATGTATGTGACGCCAAGTTCAAATAATATTCCCAGCTCAGGAGTGTCCAAGTTGCACCTCAGAAAACAGTCCCTGTCCAAAAGGCTGGGTAGATTCCCAGTCATCTGCTAAACCAAACCAAACAAGCATTTAAACTAAACTATTAGCTTTACAGAAATACATTCAGACTATACAGCATGGTACGCTCTGCTCCATTTCAATAGCTTGAGTGTTCAGTGATGTCGAAATGATGCAGTACCCGGGGAGAAAAGGACCAGGTCTTGACGTTGTTTGCATTGCAAGTGGCTCGGATGGTATGGATGTTACTAAGAACCTAAAAAGAGAAGACGGTCAACAACGAAACTATTGACCCTCACTCACAACATCCACAACAGCCACACTGACATTATTAAAAAAAGAGCTAGGTATGTTGAAAGAAACAAATGTTGGGCAAGAGAAGAGTGTAGAAAGACACAATCCAGTCAAAAAGGCATCATGGGTGAGCACGGCAGTGTAGAGGTGTCCCACCTGAGTGCCGTCGAAGGCGCAGAGGCGGATGTGCCGACTGAGGACTTGAACTCCGACCCCTGGGGTGGGGATACTCTTGCAGCTCCACAGAGTCAGAGTGAGGGACGTCCTCGCTGTCCTCTGACGAACCTACGGGGGACGAGAGGGTTTCTTCGCACTCCTAATACATGCACACTAGAGTCAAACCTATACCAAACTAATAAAGATGAAGCCCTGACTCACAATGGTTGAGTCAAACAAAACAGCACACACTATTAACAATTGTCACCAACACACACACAATAGCTGAGGGCCTCCCGAGTGGTGCAGTGGTCTAAGCAGCCGGCCGCGACCATGGAGCAGCGCACAATTGGCCCAGCGTCACCCAGGTTAGGGGAGGGTTTGGCCAGCAGGGATGTTCTTGTCCCATCGCGCACTAGTAACTCCTGTGGCGGGCGCAGTGCACGCTGACACGGTCGCCTGGTGTACAGTGTTTCCTCCAACACATTGGTGCGGGATCCACACTCATTCCGGGTTAAGTGCGCATTGTGTCAAGAAGCAGTGCGGCTCGGTTGTGTTGTGTTTCGGAGGACGCACAGCTCTTGACCTTCTAAAAACTAGGGCTGTTGCGGAGATGCTGCTGATGGTCATTAGTATCCTCTATTGCCCTTTGTACCACGATATACACTTGCTCCTATTTCAGAAAGCCCACCCCGATATACCCTGTTATTATGTGGCTGAGCGATGAGGAGAAATTGAAATGTTTTTTTGTCCATTGTGTATTTCCGTTCGTGGAATATTTAGATAAACACTGGAATAAAAGAAGAAGTGCTACCTATAATTACATTCTAAAAATATTTAGCTTCTATGTGGCAAATGGCAAGTGTGTACAGTGAGGGAAAAACGTATTTGATCCCCTGCTGATTTTGTACGTTTGCCCACTGACATAGACATGATCAGTCTATAATTTTAATGGTAGGTTTATTTGAACAGTGAGAGACAGAATAACAACAAAATAAATCCAGAAAAACGCATGTCAAAAATTTTATAAATTGATTTGCATTTTAAAGAGGGAAATAAGTATTTGACCCCTCTGCAAAACCCTTGTTGGCAATCAGAGGTCAGACATTTCTTGTAGTTGGCCACCAGGTTTTCACACATCTCAGGAGGGATTTTGTCCCACTCCTCTTTGCAGATCTTCTCCAAGTCATTAAGGTTTCGAGCCTGACGTTTGGCAACTCGAACCTTCAGCTCCCTCAGATTTTCTATGGGATTAAAGTCTGGAGACTTGCTAGGCCACTCCAGGACCTTAATGTGCTTCTTCTTGAGCCACTCCTTTGTTGCCTTGGCCGTGTTTTTTGGGTCATTGTCATGCTGGAATACCCATCCACGACCCATTTTCAATGCCCTGGCAAGATTTGACGGTACATGGCCACGTCCATCGTCCCTTTGATGCGGTGAAGTTGTCCTGTCCCTTTAGCAGAAAAACACCCCCAAAGCATAATGTTTCCACCTCCACGTTTGACAGTGGGGATGGTGTTCTTGGGGTCATAGGCAGCATTCCTCCTCCTCCAAACATGGCGAGTTGAGCTGATGCCAAAGAGCTCGATTTTGGTCTCATCTGACCACAACCCTTTCACCCAGTTCTCCTCTGAATCATTCAGATGTTCATTGGTAAACTTCAGACGGGCCTGTATATGTGCTTTCTTGAGCAGGGAGACCTTGCAGGCGCTGCAGGATTTCAGTCCTTCACGGCATAGTGTGTTACCAATTGTTTTCTTGTTGACTATGGTCCCAGCTGCCTTGAGATCATTGACAAGATCCTGCCGTGTAGTTCTGGGCTGATTCCTCACCGTTCTCATGATCATTGCAAGTCCACGAGGTGAGATCTTGCATGGAGCCCCAGGCCAAGGGAGATTGACAGTTCTTTTGTGTTTCTTCTATTTGTGAATAATCGCACCAACTGTTGTCACCTTCTCACCAAGCTGCTTGGCGATGGTCTTGTAGCCCATTCCAGCCTTGTGTAGGTCTACAATCTTGTCCCTGACATCTTTGGAGAGCTCTTTGGTCTTGGCCATGGTGGAGAGTTTGGAATCTGATTGATTGATTGCTTCTGTGGACAGGTGTCTTTTATACAGGTAACAAGCTGACATTAGGAGCACTCCCTTTAAGAGTGTGTTCCTAATCTCAACTCGTTACCTGTATAAAAGACACCTGGGAGCCAGAAATCTTTCGGATTGAGAGGGGGTCAAATACTTATTTCCCTAATTAAAATGCAAATCAATTTATAACATTTTTGACATGCGTTTTTCTGGATTATTTTGTTGTTATTCTGTCTCTATCTGTTCAAATAAACCTACCATTAAAATTATAGACTGATCATGTCTTTGTCAGTGGGCAAACGTACAAAATCAGCAGGGGATCAAATACTTTTTTCCTCACACTGTAGCCATATTAGGACCTAACAAGGACAACTCAGAGTATGCTATTCTGTTCTTCTGAAATAGACTAAATTTTCTTTATCTCATGTTTCTTTAGGCCGGTCTAAAATAAATAATGGATTTATTGTGACGGTGTAGGTTATATTAAATTGATTTATTAGACTTTTTCAAATGTAGAAGTTCCTACGGTCTGTATCAGTGGCTTATAGGCTATGGTGGAAGCCAGGAGATGCTAAACGTATTGATGTTAATTAACGGTCAATTACCGTGAGACCGGCAGTTATTTGCTTGACAATCACCGGCTGACAAAATGTCATGGCCGCCTCAGCCCTAACTGACACCATGCTAAAGGAAGACCTATTTGTGTGATGTGACCTTTGCAAGTTGGCCATAACTACTTTAACGTCATCTCAGTCTAAATGCTTACTTTTCCAGTGTCTGGGTCCCGGAAGAGGTCTTTGAAGGACAGTTTGGATTGGCTCAACTCTGGCTGGATGTAGTGACTTCTTCTGTAGGTGATCCCTGTAAAACACACAGGCCACACACCCTTATAAAAACATACAAGCAATTTTTAGGTCTTATGAGCAGAAACTTCAACATTGTGAGAATTTTGTGCAACTTCTGGCGTGCATTTACAGTGAACACTGAGGCTGTACACTTACAGTATTAGTAGCCAATAGGCTATTGTGGATATTTGAGCCTACCAACAAAACCAATGGAGAAAATCCCATAACATTTTCACATTGAAATCGCTTTTGATTTCTATGAGTAGCCTATATGTGGTGTTCAATGCAGGCCTACATTGCATGAGACTTTTAAAAACATTTTTTTTTACATTATGAAGGGCTTTACATTAATTAATGATTTTTTACTTGGTGTGTAACACCATGGGCCAAATACGTTACCGTAAATTGCATTGTATTGTGTTGTATGATGCAAGAAACCACTTTACAAAATAAAAGTTATTATTACCATACAGAGAATTAGACAATGTAGGCAACCCCTCTGCCTATTGGTGTATTTGCATATTCAAGCCTGTCTCAAAATACAACACTTCCCTTTTAATTAAGACATAAGCTTTTTACCTGACTGGCTTTTCAAAGACAGCTTGAAATGTAGCCTACATGTTTTGTGCTCTTGAACGAAGCAGTAACTCCCCATTGATGACCTATACTTATCTATAACTGGGCTAATAACTTGCTAACTATCAAAGAATATCAACAAATGTGCAAACACGTGGCACTGCACTCTGATCTGAAAAGCTCTTTCACTCGTGGGTGATTGAAAGACCGCCAATAGAATTATACTCCTTTGTGCTCTGGCTCTGCCTACAACAAAATCACAGGCTCAATCTTGCAAAGTTAGATTTGTTTTGGCTTGTTGCATTGAAAAGGGGCCGATATAATGTTGATTCAATCACAGAAAAAACATTGATCTATATAGTGCAAATTAATGGGGTGAACTCAGTGAAGTTTAATCTCTTGCGTCTCTGCGCCGCCTGGCATTTCTTCTGTGCGGCAGTCCTGGAGAAAGTGCACGGCTGCCCACACACGCAGCCTAGAGGGAACATTGGGTGTGACCCTGTCCACTATTGAAGAATTATGCAGAGCATAAAAAGCATACAGCCTCTGGGATGGGTGACCGACATGGCAGAAAGTGTCTATGTCTTTGTGTGCATGCATGCCTGCTGTGACATATTAGCTGTGAGTGTGTGTGTGTGTGTGTGCGCGCGTGTGTGTGTGTGTGTGTGTGTCTGTAGCCCAGAGGGTTAGGGTAAATGTGTGTATTTGATGAAGATAATGGGTCATCAGAACACTGGGTACTAAAAGATGACGCAGTTGTTCTTTATCAATGACATCCAATCTGGCCCACAGTACACAAGCTGATGATACATTATTCAATATTATTCGGGAGAACTATCTACATGCACTTTCTGTTGATCAGGAGAGTCTTTCTGTTCCGGCAGAATGTCATGCCTCTGTGAGACAAGGCTTATCTAAGCTCAGAGGCTTACCTTCATCTAGTAGTTTAGAGAGGGTGGATGACCTAAACCCAGCAGGGATGGCACCCATGGCAGACAGAACATCAGTAGCATCAATCTGAAAAGAATTTCACACAGGAATAGACACACACAAATGTACATGTGCATACACACACACACACACACACAAGTAGTAGATGATTTTCTAGAATCTAGTTGAACTGATCCACCACTAGCTCATCTTACCTCAGTGATGGCTCTCCTCACACTGTCCAGGTTCGAGCTGTTTATGGGAGAATATATTCACTGTGACAGTCATTGGGAACTAACACTAGAATATCATCATCAGCATTGCAAATGTATGTGTTATCAATTATAGATCAACAACAACAAACTTGATTGACTAGCAGTCAGAAAGATTCATAATCACTTTGTTGAGGGAGTGATAGTCTTCGAGCGATGCCTTTGTAAACATTGCCATCTAGTGGTTATGAAGAGAACCTCACCTATGCATCCTTTTGGACTCAATCTCCTCATCCTCATCCTCTGATGCTTCATCATCCTCATAATCCTCATCATCCTGGTCTGAATATCTCTAAAACATAAAAACACAACATACATAACATTTATTATTTTTGTTGTAATTAGAACTACAGCAATCAACATCAAATAATTGATAAACTGATGGTACCTTCAAGTAGGTTTTGGGGACTAGTCCCTTATTGCCCTTTGAGTCCTGAGCAAGCCACCATCCATCCTCATTCTTACTGAGAATTGTCAGGACCTCACCCATCTGAAACAATAAGCAAAAAAGATCACCACTGTTTAACTACATTATGACAAACAGGCAGGATATGATCTTCGTATGCTAGTGAATTTGTCTGAGCAGTATTTTCACCTGAATGGTAAGATCTCCCTCCTGCTCTCCTTTAAAGGCACTGATAACCATATACGTGGCAGTGCCTGACTCTGGGATTTGTTCCGTGGTCTTTGTGACTACATCTTCCTCATCTTCTACACTCTCATCTTCACTCTCGTCTTCCTCACTGTCTTCCTCACTGTCTTCCTCCTCTTCATCTTCCTGGGCTTGGGATGACCTGGGGGAAAAAATGACAGATGGTCTTTCTCTTTGGAGACTGGAAGTTTCAAGAACTTGTCTTAATTTAACACATAGCTAAGTGGTAGATAGCATCCTCCACACACTAGCAGAAGCCAAGCAAGTATTTTGGTTGAAACAAAGGGCCATGTACAAGGGCCTACAGCTCACATATGAGGACTGGGAGACAGAAACAATCCTCACAAGTCATGGATCAGAACGTACACAACATTACACAAGGACCATAGTCTTGAATGTGTTTATTAAGAAACATTGCTATGTTCCTCACCCTCCCTCATGTTTCTGAGGCGGAGAGAGCTCCAGGACCAAGACCAGCAGCTGCTCCTCAATCCCCCGCAGACGGCTCTCCTCCTCCATCTTCCTCTGGTCGTAATTCCCCACTGGGGCTGGCTCATCAGCCTTTAGTGGGGAGCAAATGAAAAATGTGTAGCTAAGTAGCTAGCTAAAACAACAAAAGTATGGAGCAGCATTTGAAAGACAAAACAACGATGAAAATGAATGGGGGGAAAATAATGTAGCTAGCTAGCTTTAGAAATGCTTTATATACACACCTTGGTTAACTTCTTGAGCTTCCTGGTTGTCTCCTCCACTAGGTTTTGTAGATGTATGCATCTGCTGGAAGAAAAGGCAACGTTTTAAGTTAGCTAGTTATAATATCCATACGTTAGCAGCTAGCTAGCTATAACTAGTAACGTTTAGCAGATTTGAATAAGTGAAGGGGGTTAGCTACCTCTGATATGCCTCTGTGCGCCCTGACACATCTGACTGCCGTGCATCTTTTATCAGACTGTCAACCTAGGGAAGTAAAATAGATCACACATGTGATGGATCGTAGCCTAGGATGACTGCAAGCAACACAGGAAAAACCACCATGCATTGCATTCAAGTTAGCTAGCTAACATTAGCTAAGCTAGCAGGCTCACCTGTTTTTTGATATCATCCGTCTCTCTTTGCACTGTTTGCAAAGGCCCTTTTCTTTTTGGTGGCATAGCTAGCTATATATATATAATATATAAATGTTTGTTTCTAATTAAAATATTATATATATTTTTTAATTAAGCCGCTAGTAACTGCAAGTTCGCACTTATCAGACGCTTTCAGCGGTCGCTAAGCAGCGACTTCCGTTCCCCCACAAAAAAAAAAAGGTACGATAGCCACTGTAACTGATTTCAAAATAAAAGTGTGAAATTAAATTATACACTGGAACTGGAAGACAACAACGTTGAGTAGTGTGTAGCAGTGGCGTGTATTCATGGTGTTTTGGAAGCAGTCATTGCAGAATAACTGCAGTGTACTGCAGTTGAACTGCATTTATACTGCACTGTACTGCAGTTCAACTGCAAAATAACTGCGGGGGTAAAAAACGGTATTATTTTGGATGCAGCATTTGCAGCATACTGCAGTTATACTGCACTCTGACTGCAATATGTTTTCGGAAGGGTAAGCCATGGATGGAGATGTGAATTTGGAGTTGTGGTTTTGACTTAATTGTACAGGGCAATGATTATGACGGCGATTCTGATCTAACCATAAATTAATATATTGTGGAACGCGCCTGAGACGATTGATATAGATAGATATAGCCTAGTAGGCTAACGTTAACTAACTAGCTAACTTAGCTGGTGCATTGTTGCCTTTGCGAGGAAGTTAGGCTAGCAAGTATTTTAGCTAGGTAGCCTATGACAACAAAAACTAAAAGCCTACTGCATGACAGAGCCATAGATCGTTTTGCCAACAGGAAAGAGGGGAGAATGGCATTGGCGTTCAACTAGTCAACTAGTCTTTTTTACTTGTGCGTGCACACACACACACACACACACACACACACACACACACACACACACACGCACACACGCACACACACACACAGAGACAGACAGAAATCAGGACCATGGACAGCCACATGATATTTAGCAACATTGATAGGACAATTTTTGTTGTTGCTATCTTTAAGTTTGTTTTCACTGTATTATAGCCTAGTTGATTTTATGATGTTTAAATATTTAAGTTGAAATGGTGCTGGAATAGCGGAGGCAGTGCTCCTTTTGTCATTGTGCTGACTTGTGGTAACTCTGTGGTTCTAAATCAGTAGTTGTTTAGTAAACTGTAGAAAACATTAACTAGCTGGACCATGCTGTAGGTCATGTAACTGTTTGTTGCATGTAATATTTGCTTTGTGGACTTCACCGGACAGATGTTAATCTCCGGTTTTGTGATAAAACAAAGGAATGTGTAGTTTAAGTTATTCCACCACTGTGTGACTGTTCTCTTTTTGTTGTCTCTGCCTTATTGTACAGTCGTGGTCAAAAGTTTTGAGAACTACACAAGTATTGGTCTTCACAAAGTTTGCTGCTTCAGTGTTATGAGATATTTTTGTCAGATGTTACTATGGTATACTGAAGTATAATTACAAGCATTCCATAAGTGTCCAAATTGACAATTACATTAAGTTTATGCAAAGAGACAATATTTGCAGTGTTGATCCTTCTTTTTCAAGACCTCTGCAATCCGCCCTGGCATGCTGTCAATTAACTTCTGGGCCACATCCTGACTGATGGCAGCCCATTCTTGCATAATCAATGCTTGGAGTTTGTCAGAATTTGTGGGGTTTTGTTTGTCCACCCGCCTCTTGAGGATCGACCACAAGTTCTCAATGGGATTAAGGTCTGGGGAGTTTCCTGGCCATGGACCCAAAATGTCGATGTTTTGTTCCCCGAGCCACTTAGTTATAACTTTTGCCTTATGGCAAGGTGCTCCATCATGCTGGAAAAGGCATTGGTCGTCCCCAAACTGTTCTTGGATGGTTGGGAGAAGTTGCTCTCGGAGGATGTGTTGGTACCATTCTTTATTCATGGCTGTGTTCTTAGGCAAAATTGTGAGTGAGCCCACTCCCTTGGCTGAGAAGCAACCCCACACATGAATGGTCTCAGGATGCTTTACTGTTGGCATGACACAGGACTGATGGTAGCGCTCACCTTGTCTTCTCTGGACAAGGTGTTTTCCGAATGCCCCAAACAATCGGAAAGGGGATTCATCAGAGAAAATGACTTTACCCCTGTCCTCAGCAGTCCAATCCCTGTACCTTTTGCAGAATATCAGTCTGTCCCTGATGTTTTTCCTGGAGAGAAGTGGCTTCTTTGCTGCCCTTCTTGACACCAGGCCATCCTCCAAAAGTCTTCGCCTCACTGTGCGTGCAGATGCACTCACACCTGCCTGCTGCCATTCCTGAGCAAGCTCTGCATTGGTGGTGCCCCGATCCCGCAGCTGAATCAACTTTAGGAGATGGTCCTGGCGCTTGCTGGACTTTCTTGGGCGCCCTGACGCCTTCTTCACAACAATTGAACCTCTCTCCTTGAAGTTCTTGATGATCCGATAAATGGTTGATTTAGGTGCAATCTTACTAGCAGCAATATCCTTGCCTGTGAAGCCCTTTTTGTGCAAAGCAATGATGACGGCATGTGTTTCCTTGCAGGTAACCATGGTTAACAGAGGAAGAACAATGATTTCAAGCACCACCTTCCTTTTAAGCTTCCAGTCTGTTATTCTAACTCAATCAGCATGACAGAGTGATCTCCAGCCTTGTCCTCATCAACACTCTCACCTGTGTTAACGAGAGAATCACTGACATGATGGCAGCTGGTCCTTTTGTGGCAGGGCTGAAATGCAGTGGAAATGTTTTTTTTTGGGGATTAAGTTCATTTTCATGGCAAAGAGGGACTTTGCAATTAATTGCAATTAATCTGATCACTCTTCATGACATTCTGGAGTATATGCAAATTGCCATCATCAAAACTGAGGCAGCAGACTTTGTGAAAATTAGTATTTGTGTCATTCTCAAAACTTTTGACCACGACTGTATATCATGGTGGCGTATGAACGAATGGGTTATATAGCAAACACTGCAATTATCATAACATAGGTTGTAATATGGCTTTTATTACTGGATTTGCTTGGATTCCCCAGTGATTTTTTCCACGCACCGCTACTGGTGTGTAGGCTAGTAGAGTGTGATTATTAAAACCTTAGAAATATACAGAAGAAGGACACAAGACAAAGTATAATAAACAGGTAAGATAGATTCATCCCGTACAGAAATAGAAGGCACAGTGAGCAGCCTACAGATTGCCCAAACTAGGCAATTCATAACATTGGCATCCATATTAGATTTTTATATGGAGAGGGGGGTTAACGTCTAAAAACTGGACTTAATAGTTTCTTTAACACTGCTAGGTGATGTAAGGGATGCATTTTGAATAAGAACTGTTTACCAACTAGGTAATGCCTATACTTTCTGAAGTGGAACACGTGCTGCTGCTGCTAAACAGATAGAATCATTTCAGTGTGAATTATTCCTAAGGCATTCGCTATGGAATTCGATTTTACATTGTTTAATTAATAAATAAAATAATTAATTTAATTAATTAAGTTTGGGCAAAGCCTTCAGAGAAGTGGAGTAGCCCATTTGAGCTATGTGTAAATGGTCAGCGATTGGCTCTTACATGGGATGGTACAGATAAGATACAAGTGGCATAAGTAAATTGGGTTCTCTTCTTAATAGCTTGCCAATAAGCCTACATAGGAGTTACAATTTCTTTAGGAAAATAGTTTGACTTCCAGTCTCAAAGTTTGGTCCACTGCTTATTGATTCACTAAGTTACACTGGAAGGACTGTATGCAATGTGGATGTGGTCTGCTCTGTGTGGTGTGTGTGTGTGTTTCAGGTACCTGTCACGGAATCAGCCGAGGCTGCCCCTCCTCCTTGCTCGGGCAGGCTTCGGCGTTCGTCGTCCCCGGAGTACTAGCTGCCACCGATCTATGTTTCGGTGTTTGTCTAGTTTGTCCTGATTGTTTTCACCTGTTTCCCATTATGTTATATTGTATTCCCTTTATAACCCCCTGTCTCTCATTGGTTATTGTGTGTGATTGTTTTCCGTGAGGTCGGCAGTGTTCGGGTGTATGCGTATTTTGTTTCCTCCCTGTTTGGAGGTTTGTTTGTATTTATATTACTGTGCTAGTAAAGTTTGTCTGCCAGTAGCTCGGTGTCCTGCGCTTGACTTCGCTCACCGCATACACGTCGCCCTGACAGTACCTCTGTGGTCATCACTGGATGCGTTTACACAGGAAGCCTAATTCAGTTTTGTTTTTTTCACTAATTGGTCTTTTGACCAATCAGATCAGCTCTGAAAAATGTAGTATTAGAAAAGATCTGATGTGATTGGTCAAAAGACCATTAGTGGAAATAAGATCAGAATTTGGCTGCCTGTGTAAATGCAGCCATTTTGTCTGTAGATCCAGCCTGGTCTCTTACTCTCTGTGTTGGTGTTTGCTGTCATCCTGTTCATAGTCTACCTTTGTAAACACAAAGAGAAAGGTTATCAGTAAACTCCGTACCTGTCTCATTTGGGTCCTCCTCAAATTTACCCCAAATAAACCGTGAATGTGTAGCGTACCTGAAGAGCCAGACAAACGGTAAGAGTAGGCTAAAGAAGAGTTAAACCTATAAACTCAGTTACTGAACAGGGGCCATAAACTACTTTCAGAGAGAATGTTGGGCAGGCAACATTCCACAAGTTTCTTTGTCACCCTGACCAATGACATCAGACTTGTAGCCTACTTCTATTCCTTCTCATTCATAAGTGAATAGAATACAATAGAATACTGTACAATACAGTAAAACACAATAGAATACAGTAGAATAGAATAGAATACAGTAGAATGCAATATAATCATTGCCTCTCTAGTCTGTCTTGAAATGTAATATTTAAATATGTGTGCTGCACTGTAGTCTAAGCATTCTGCAGCGATACGCCATCCCATCTGGTTTGCGCTTAGTGGGACTATCATTTGTTTTTCAACAGGACAATGACCCAACACACCTCCAGGCTGTGTAAGGGCTATTTGACCAATAAGGAGAGTGATGGAGTGCTGCATCAGATGACCTGGCCTCGACAATTACCCGACCTCAACCCAATTGAGATGGTTTGGGATG